GGAGATTTTGAGTTCCCTGGAGGCACACATCTGATCAGTAGTGTGTGTTACATATCTGTGTCTCCTACTGTTCCTGAACTGGATAAACCAGTGACTGTAGAGCTAGTACATTGTGCTCATTTGAGCTCTGAATCTCAGAGTGAGTATCTGAGCTTTGTAGTAGCTGAGGTTCAACCTGGTAAACAGACCGGTCCTTTTAAGTTTGAGTTGTTACCAGGAGGATCATTCTCAGCTGAGTCTCAGACTGGTACTATAGAATTGAAGAGTTTCTCACTGGTTGCTATTGTGATGGGTACTGTAGCAGTGGGTGGTGTCAGTGTTGCTGCTGGTCTTGCTGCTGCTGGAGCTGCTCCTCTTACTGCAGTGGCTGTTGGGTTTGTTGGAGTAGCAACTATAGGAAGTTTAGCGTTGAGTGCTGCTTTCAAGAAAGGTTAGTGCAGTTACAAATAATTGTATTGTTTTTAATTTATACTGCACTTTGTATTTCTAGTTCCTTCATTTCATTGCCGCGGTCTCTTTTATAAAAATTGTTTGCCTGAAAAAGTAGTAATGAGTCTGGCCGTACTCCAAGATTTACCTTCTTCTAAAAAGGTACAGTACATCTTGTTTTTATATAATTACATTATTGTTATTGGTTCATCTGCAGCTTTTCCAAGGAGATTCTGCCATCCAGTCCCTCCTGGGTAAATTGCAAACAACCTTTCGTTTCACATTTTCCAAGAACAAAGATCATCATTTAAAAGTGACCAATTTTCCTTCTAAGAATATAAAAGGATGGAAATTCACCCAATGCAACCCTCCTGTGGTAAGATAAAGAGTTGAATATTATCTCATACATTCCTTCTATGATAGATCAGTGAGAGCCATGTTGCTGAATATAGTGCTAGTAAAGGTTCTGAGCCTCCATACATTCAAGTATCAGTGGAACCTGATGAAACTGATGCTACTAACAAGATATCCCATGCTTTATCTATTGATGGTATACAAACTTTATCTGATGCATCTACTGTTCAATGGAGTATTGAAGTATCTAAGAATGATTTATTATCAACCACTCCTTTTTCAGGTAATTATTTTTATTTCTTATTATTATTGTTATTGTAATTATAATTATCATTAGTTGTTCCATCATTTGTTGCTGCTACTTCAATGGAAAATGTACAACCAGAAGGTAAGTTTTGATTTCAGTTGTTTATTTGATTTAGCTTCATGTTCATCTATTTCTTGATTTTAATAATACGTTCAATAGACCAACAGATCCAGCAACTATCACTTGATCCTCAACTAGCAGTAAAAGCTTTCAGGAAACAGTTTGGTACTCTATCAAAATTGTTATCAGTGTCTTCTAATAGACTGGCAGTTGCTCCTGAATTATTTAGTGGAGGTCTCATTACGTTTAATTGTTATAAGAATGCTACTGAAGGAAGTAGCAAGACAGAGGAAGAGAAGAGTACAGGTCTAATGATATCACTAATGTCTACAATCAGTACACAACCTGAATTACTAACTGAACTGATTAATGTATTAAACAGAACAGAACCATTTAAACTAATAGCAACTAAACTAGTTGAAGCTTCTTATCGCTAACTTGCCTTTGGGTTTTATTATTATTGTTGTCATCAAGAGTACATTAATACTCTTGATTTATTTTAATTTTTATTTTAAGTTGTTCAATCAGATACGTGGGCGTAGGGTTACTGGAATGGGTGGGGCTCACCTCGGTTAATGGCTCCAACCATAGATGTGCAAAACTCCAACTACTTTGCTGAATGATTAGTTGAAGCAAAGTACATCTCCAGCCACCAGAAAGAGAAAAAAGGGAAAGAAGGAAGCAGCTAGGTGTGTTTAATAATGTATTTACTATATGTTTCAATGGTAGGCTTTCGTACATGGTCTCAGGCAATTTTCACCAAAAAAGGCTAGTTGAGAATTTTCCATTTAAAATTTTTTTCTGATGCATACACATGTACTTACATCACATAGCCTTGAGTATTTTTCAGAATTTTGGTGTTTTCAATGGTCGTAACTTTAAAAACTGAAGTCAGAATCAACTCAAACTTTCTACATAGCATAAGAACATCAATATGCATCAAAAAATGTAATAATAATTGGGATGATTTTGGAGCCACTTTTTGGAAAAAATCCACAGTTTAGGGCAGTTTTGGAGCTATTTTTTCCTGCAATGGGCTATATCATCTTTTTTCGAAAATTGGCCCAAATTCTAAAGATGCAATTTTTGATTTGATTAAACAACTGCAAATAAAACTACTCTTCACAAAAATCAATAACTAAACTATAACTATAATAGCTACGTTGCAAAAAGTAATAACAGAAACAATAGTCCTATATTGTTCTACACTAAACTACATCAGTTCCTCATCATCAGTTATTATTATTATCCACTGTATTTGGTGCTACAGCGACAGGTGGAGGCTCCAATACGTCCTCCCTTGCAGAGAACATTAAGGAAGTAGCTCCCATAGCAATCACAGACTCTGCACAAACCAAACAACTTCCTCCTCCTGTTGTAGAGCCTCCAATTGCGGGAGAATGGACCATACCTGTTCCTTCCAGTCCAATTTGTCTATGATGAAAAAATAAAATTATTAATATAACAGAAAATTCAAGCTTGCATGCCATGCATTATAATTATTATTAAGAAAACACAAAATGAGCTTTTTGAAAGATGTGGAATTAATTGCCAAACATTTTTGAAACTATTATGAACATAAACTGCATGCATAACTACTGAGATCTATTCCAGCTACATCATGTATAGGAGATACTAATACAGAGGTACTGTTTCCTTACACTGTGTATAACTGTATTGAAGATGATGACATCAAGTACTGTAGTTGAATATAATGATGATTAAGTAATAGTTAATACATGGGGCGGCGTGTTCTATCTGATTTATCTGCACGAGCTTCCAGTCGAGTCGCTAAAAATAGCGCACGAGGCTGAAGGCCGAGTGCGCTATTTTAGCGACGAGACCGGAAGCAAGTGCAGATAAATCAGATAGCACACGACGCCACATGTATTAATTGTTTTAGTGTATAGTTCCAGCAAAGATTGCACGTGCTCTGCTATCACTGATATCACACTGCTGCACATTAAATAAATGAGTGTCCTATTTATAATATCACACTACGGTATTGGTGGGAGTGTTCTGTGGGTTTTATCACAACTGTTAGGCCTTTGATCTTTGCTGCAACTATACATTAAATAATAATACATTAACTGCTTTCTATTATAAATGTAACTGCAATAGTATACTTAAATGCAATAAAATACAAGGAATTTCAGCATATTTCATATTATGCATTAGCTTACACTGCATCTTGGGCCCCTCCAGGTCCACCTGCAACGAGCATATCTCTTCCTCCAATAAGCCAGAATAGAAACCCTTCCATTGATAGTGCTGAACACTTCAAAGCAAGCATTAGCATCTCCTTTAGGTGATCTACCACAGACTAAGGTTGAAGCTTGTGGAGTTAAGTAATAGCCAATAGACCCGGAGATTCTTGCACCAACTTTAAAAACTCTCTGGAGTAGAAGAGGATAGAATATTAAAAATTAATATCTATTATTTCTAGGAGACAAAAAAATTGTATTTGCTGTAAGGTAGAGCATTGGTTGTTTAAGGAACCTAATGAAAAATTATTAATAGGATATGCATATAAAAGAAGAACCAAGTACATGTGAATGCTTGTGAAATGAACAAAGCATGTTAAAAG